TATTCACGGGCGAAGAGAATAGGGATAGGGTAGAGGGGGGGAGGGAGGGAGGGAGATTTTTCAAATTTTTGACTTTTTTTTTTTTTTTTTTTTTTTTACCTTCGACGTAGAAAAAAAACTTTTTCTCCGACCTTTCGACCTTTGTTATAAATTATTTAACGTTATTACTTATTAATAACTATCGTTTTTAATTTTATAATGAATATTTATACGTAATACCACCCGTAATCTGTTTTTTTTTTTTTCCTTTGACTTCCTTTGAAAATTCTCGTGCATAAAAAAACAAAAAAAAAAATTTTATTATTTCATAACAAAGGTTACGAACGGTCCGATCGGCGCCAAAAAAAAAAAAATTTTCTTCGATTTCGATAAGTTTACAAGCTTTATTATTATTATTATCATCATCATCATCATCATCATTATTATTCTCGTTGTTTGTCAAACAAACGAAAGAAAACAACAAAATTTAATTATTGTAAATGGTTTAAACGATTTATAAAAAAATAAACGGCGACTGACATTTTTCCTACGGATAGAGAGAGAGAGAGAAAGAGAGAGAAAAGAAATATTTTTTTTTTCTTCCACGAACTTTTAAATTTTCCACGCGACGAATTTCATCATCGTAACCTTCGAGTACGTTTCGAGTATTTCCGCCCGAATCACTTCCGCTCGATTTTTACAACTTTACGAAATTTTTTTTTTTTCGTTGTTGTTTTGTTCTAATTTATATAATAAAAAAAAAAAAACAAAAAACGCCCTTATTTCCGGTTTGATTTTTCAAAAAATTTCCTTTTCGAATCCCTCTCTTTCTCTCTCGTATCATTATCATTATTATTATTATTATTATTATTATTATTATTGTAACTATTTGTCCTTTCGTGATTAAATAAAGTCCCCGTGTTTGTGACGACGACGACGACCCGCTCGTTTCAAATTATGCATGAAATGAAACCCAGACATTCGCTTTTCCTCGAAGCCCCTTTTCCCTCTCCCACCTCTCCCCCCTGACCGGGGAGAGAAGAGGGGGGGGAAATTAACGTCCCACATTTTGGTTAATAAATTATTTCCCGGATTCGACTTCCTAACTCTCCGTCTCCCTCTTCCCTCTTTCTCCCTCCCCACAATTCAGAATTCGAAATCCGCCCTCCTATTTTAACTGCGGGTTACACATTAAAAATCTTCAACCGACACCCGTGTCAACTTCACGTATATTTATTTCATTTCATTTTTTTTTTTTTTGTGTATTTCGTAACGGAAAATGACGACAACGCGACCGAACGAACGAAAAAAGAGAAAGAGAGACAGATAGAGTGAGAGAGAGAGAGAGAGAGAGAAAAAGGAAAAAAATTATTTAAACCAAACCAAACCAAAAAAAAAAAAAATTAAATCACGAGGAAAACGTTCGCAGTTACCGATAAAAAATTCATAAACGTCGCCATGAAAAAAAAAAAAAAAAAAAAAACGTGGAATTAGAATCTTTTTCGTCATTTAACGAATCTGATATCGTCCCGTCGGAAAAAAAAAAAAAAAATAATGACCATTTTTTAATTCGCGAATTTTACAAAATATTAATAAGAACGGATACGAAAACGAAAAAAAAAATTCATCATTTCGTGTCACAAGAAAAAAAATAATAAAAAAAAGAAAGGAAAAGGGAGCGACGCATTGTGTCGTCGTTTCCCCCTCCTCCCCCTCCCCCCATCCTATGCTTAGCTCAAATTTATTATAAAAAAAAATAGAAACAAACAAACAAACAAACAAATATGTGAACAACAGTACGTGTACCCAATTCATTCACATCAAATTATTATTATTATTTTAGTAAGTAAAAAAATTTTTTTTTCCTTTTTTTTTTTTTGAGATACGCCACTGAACTCACGTGCACACGTGGTTTTTACTTTTTTAAATTATTATTTTTTTTTTTTTTATTACTTTGCGTGACTTTTATCATATAAAATTAATACCGTAAGAAAAAGGCAAACGAATACCGTAAGAAGGAAACGAAAAAAAAAAAAAAAAAAAAAAAAGAAAAATTTTCTTACAAAAACTTAAGGAAAATCACGATTTAAAAACAAAAAAAAAAAAAAAACCAACTCTATCGATTTTATTTTTTTCTAGACTTTTCCATGACGAGAAAAACGTTTTTTTAAACAGAGAGAAAGAGAGAGAGAGAGAATTTTCCAACACTAAAATCGAAAATAATAATAATAATAATTCGAAAAAATGGTGAGGAAATTAGTTAACCATGTGCGCGATACATCTTTTCCACAAAAAAATTCTTTTTAAGTAAAAATTTAATTTTCAAATACAACAACAACAACAATAATAATAATAAGTCACTTACGGTGATCGATATTATAAAAACAAACCTATTTAAGGTACCACCGAAAATTAAACCCTATAAAACTAATCCTAATAACACCACAAGCACAAACACCACCACCACCACCTTCACCACCGTTTTTACAACAACTGATTTCGTCAGGTATGCCAAGCACCTGACGCGTCATAGTCATCAAAATTATCACGTGATATTGCGACGGAAACGTTTACGATCGTAACCGAGACTTTTCGTAAAGGGAAAAACGACAAAACAAAAAATTACCTGTAAAAACTTGTTTCCTTTATATCTCATCATCTGTCGTTCTCTTTATTTCGTCTTTTTAAACCTCGTTTCCGGTTTTGTAATAAATATACGTATATTAAATTTTTTCTCGCCTTTTTTTTTTATTCGTCTTTCAATTTTTTTTTTTTTAATATTATTATTATTAATTAAATTTTAATCGATTACAAATCAATCGAACCGTATAATATTTTCTTTTTACCTTCAATACATAAATATTTATTAATAATAATGATAATAATGATGATGATGATGATGATGATGATGATGATGATGAATTTCAAAACGAACGACATTAAAACATTTATAAATATTTTAAAAAAAAAAAAAAAAAAAAAAAAAAAAAAAAAAAAAAAAATAATAATAATAATAATAATAATAATAATAATAATAATAATAATAATAATAATGATATTTAAATCGTTATTAATTATAAAATCAATATCCGGAGTCTCGAAACGATTCGGCCAATCAAAATTGACGACGGATTCGAATATTGCGAATTGTTTGCGACCGAAAAACAATAATAATAATAATAATAATAATAATAATAATAATGATGATGATGATGATGATAAATTTACGAATGATTTATTTTTCGTCGAAATAAATAAATAAAAATTAATTAATTATTAAAATAATAATTATTATTATTATTAATAAATTAATAAATTTTATTGATGCGTTCAAACGAAAAATAAAAAAATTCATGGGTTAATTAAATTCATTCCCTTGAATTTATTAACCCTTTCCCCCCTTCTCCCCCCTCCCCCTTTCTTGCCTCCCCGTTCGTTCGAATAATATTATGAATAATAATAACTAATAATTTTACGGTTTACCTTAACGAAAAATTAATTAAATTATGTAATAGTCAATCGATCAATCGATCAATCAATCAATCAATCAGTCAATCAATCAATGAAATTATTAAAGAAAATTTTTGATGAGATTAATTTTAATAAATTTTTTTTCATTTCGTCATCTTTTCATTTTAAAAATAAAAAAATATCGAAACGAAAAAAAAACGTGAAACTTATTACGGCACTGAATAACGTATCACCGAATTGTTTACAAAGATAAAAATGATGTAAAAAAAATAAAAATAAAAAATCCTTTCCATTATTTTTTTAATAATTTTTTCCTTTTCGAAACGTGGTGGAAATTTCCTAGAATTTTTATTCGTACGAATAATATTCTACTTATTATTATTATTTTCTAGTGACACGATTTTATTTTATTTAAATAATAATAAATAGACGTCGGATAAAAAGTAAAAAAACCCTCCCACACACAAATTTAAAACAATTTAATCTTTTTCATTGATCTAAATCACTCACTCTCTCTCTCTCTTTTTCACTTTCGTTCCAACAACAAATATTTTGTCGTGGCACGAACGAAAATTTCGTATTTTTTCCCTCTCCCCATCCCTCCATTCCCTCCCCCCCTTTCTGTTTAACCGGATATTACCAATTAAAATAAAATTTAATCGTTTAAAAAAAAAAAAAACAAAATTGAATATTTTTAAAAAAAGGGAAGAAGGGGAGGGGGAGGAAGGAAAATCGATGAAAACGTCGTGTAAAAAGAAAAAATTTTTTTTAAAAACTTTTGATAACACCACGTCCGTGAAAAATTTTTATCAAAAACAAATTTTTCCCATCAACCTTTTGTGCTTTTTGTCTTTTTTCATTAATCAATTTTTTACACGGTGATAAATTATCAATTAAGCCATGTTAAACGTTGCCAATTTTGTCACGGTTCGATTCTTCTTTTACAACAACGACAAACATTTAAATAATAATAACTCCGATTAATTATGTACATCCTGTTTCGACAATTCATTTTATTTGTTTAATTTATTAATAATATTATTATTATTATTTTGATTATAATTCGTTAACGTAAATTTCATTAAGGCAAACTCTTTTCAATTTTGACCAAAAACAAACACGTTTGACATATTCAATTTGTTTCATTTTTAATAATAATCGTCGGGTTTTTTTTAACTTCCGGTTGTTAAATTATTTATTTTTTTCGCACGACGTCATCGACGATAACCGAATGACGTCATGTTTCTTTAACGGTTTTTTTCATTTAAACATTTACGTCATAAAACAATCCCCACGTTAATTATTTGATATCATTATTATCATTACTCGAAACAACAAACAAAAAAAGACAAAGATTAATAAATAAAAATTTTTTTTGATTTGTACAACAAACATTCGACAATACTGTGTATAAAATACATAACGCTAAAACAACTGTAAATTATCAGAGAAAAATTGTTAACAAAAAAAAAAAAAAAAAAAAAGAAAACGGTTAGAAAAATAAAACTGTAAGAAATATCGAGTGAATATTTTTTTTTTTTTTTTTTTTTTTACGCCGGAAGCCAATTCGTCATTTCCTTTTCTTCTTCTTCTTCCACTTCGTTTTCTTCTCCTTCATCTTCATCGTATTCGTACGATGTTGCTTCTTGATATTGTTGATATTCCGATATCAAATCGTTTAAATTACTTTCGGCTTCGGTGAATTCCATTTCGTCCATGCCTTCTCCCGTGTACCAGTGCAAGAATGCTTTTCGTCTGAACATAACCGTGAACTGATCGGAAATTCTTTTGAACAAATCTTGTATCGCTGTTGAATTACCGATAAATGTCGCCGACATTTTCAAACCCCTCGGTGGTATGTCACAAACGGCCGTTTTAACGTTGCTCGGTATCCAATCCACGAAATACGCGCTGTTTTTATTTTGTACGTTTAACATTTGTTCGTCGACTTCTTTCACTGACATTCTTCCGCGGAAAATTGCGGCGACCGTCATGTATTTACCGTATCTCGGATCGCACGCAGCCATCATATTTTTAGAATCGAACATTTGCTGCGTGAGTTCCGCGACGGTTAGCGCCTTATACTGTTGCGAACACCTTGCCACCAAGGGTGCGAAACCGGGTATGAAAAAATGAAGGCGGGGAAACGGTATCATGTTCACCGCGAGCTTACGCAAATCCGAATTTAACTGACCGGGAAATCTCAAACAAGTCGTCACCCCCGACATCGCCGCCGAAACTAAATGATTCAAATCTCCGTACGTGGGATTTGTCAACCTGAGTGTTCTAAAACAAATGTCGTACAAAGCTTCGTTGTCTATGCAAAACGTTTCGTCCGTGTTTTCTACCAACTGATGCACGGATAACGTGGCATTATACGGTTCGACAACGGTGTCGGAAACTTTGGGCGAAGGTACGACACTGAAAGTATTCATGATTCTTTCCGGATACTCTTCTCGTATTTTTAATATCAATCTCGTACCCAAACCCGCACCTGTACCACCTCCTAAAGAGTGCGTCAATTGAAAACCCTGTAAGCAATCGCAACTTTCTGCTTCTTTTCTCATGACGTCAAGCACGGATTCCATGAGTTCGCATCCTGGAAAATAAGTTTTTTAAAAATAATTGTTTGTTGTAACTTTTGACAGTTGTCTCTGTTGTACATAAAATTGTCTTTCTCTAACCATAATTTCTTTTTTGAATATTTTTTTTTTTTTGTTTTTGAATATCAAAAAAAAAAAAAAAATTTACTTAAAACTTTATAAAAATTAAAAAAGTTTTTTTATAATTTTTTCCCTTCCGCTATCTTTCCCTCTCCCACTTCCGCTCTCCCCTTACCTCCCCTCTTTTTCTCTCTTTAAAAACTCTTTTTCTATTTCCATTACTTATTTCGAGTAAAAAAAAAAAATGTTCGCGATTTGAAATTTTTGGCGTTGGCAATATTACACCCCCCTCACTTCCTTTTCCTCTCCTCCCCTTGTCCTCTCGTAATTTACACATTACGATAGTATTATTACTTATTTTATTACTTCCTAACGACAATTTTTTTAATTTTCACGCCGTAATTTATTATCGCGACGGTTAAAAAAAAAAAAAACAATAAAAAAAAATTTTTTTTTTTTTTTGTTGTTGTACAACAACAAGTTGGCAACCGTGAATTTAATTATTTCGTTTCGACTTTCGTTTTTTAAGGTTTTCAATTAATATTTAATTTCATCCTTTTCTTGTCGTAATTAATGCCATTGCCTTTTCCTTTTTATACCGACCGCATTGCGGGATGTTAAAATAATTAAAAACTCCCCCCCTTTCCCCTTCCTACCCTACCCTAACCAACCCATCGCTCCCCATTTTCACGACGCGTAATCGAAAAAAATGAAAAAAAAAAAAGACATCGAGAAAAAATATTTTTTTTAACAAAATGAATCATCCTTTAATTATCCGAATGAAAATTAATTAAAAGTTATTAACCTTCCGTATAGTGTCCTTTTGCCCAATTATTTCCGGCTCCGGTTGTACCGAAAACAAAATTATCCGGTCTAAATATTTGACCGAAGGAACTCGATCTAACGGCATCCATTGTTCCAGGTTCTAAATCAACCAATATTCCTCTAGGTACGTATTTGCCATTCATGGCTTCGTTAAAATAAACGTTTATCCTTTGAAGTTGAACATCTGCATCCCCGCAATAGGTACCCGTAGGATCGATACCATGTTCGTCGCAAATAACTTCCCAAAATTTCGAACCGATTTGATTACCGCATTGTCCGACTTGAAAATGGCAAATCTCTCTCATTATTATTATTATTATTATTATTTATTTAATAATCACTCTTTAGTAAAAAATTAATTTATAAATAATTAAAATGTCTCTTTATAAATAATGTATATATATATCGTTTAAACAAATTTTTTTTTCGTACAAAAAAAAATATGGCGTCGATAAGACAAATGAAATTCGGAAGGAAATCACAACGTTTAGCGTTATTATTATTATTATTTTTCTTTTGACACTTTGAAAATTTTGCAACCCTGTAAAAAAAACATTACCAAAATAAATTTTGTTTTTTTTTTTTTTTTGTTACAAAAAAAAAAGTTTTGCCGTTACTAAATCATGAGAGAAATATGTCAGATACAAGTTGGACAATGCGGTAATCAAATCGGTTACAAATTTTGGGAAGTCATTGCAGACGAACATGGTATCGAACCCACTGGAGAATTTTCAGGAAATGATTTACAAGCCGAAAGGTTAAATGTTTATTTCACGGAAGCTTCCAAACGTTACGTACCTCGTGCCGTTCTTATCGATTTGGAACCCGGAGCAATTAATTCGTTGCAACTTGGACCCTTCGGTGAACTTTTCAGACCGCAAAATTTTGTCATCGGACAATCTGGAGCCGGAAATAATTGGGCGAAGGGTCATTACACTTTGGGTAGTGAAAAATTTTTCCTTTTTATTGTCAATTTTAAAATCGATGATTATATTTAACATATATACCTATACTCATCCGTTAGGAGCTGATTTGTTGGATGAGGCTATAGACGCCATTAGACGAGAAGTAGAAGCTTGCGATAGCTTGCAAGGATTTCAATTGGTGCACTCTTTAGGCGGTGGTACCGGGTCAGGTATGGGATCTTTAATAATCGACAACATCAGACAAGAATATCCCGATAGGATATTTACCACCTGCAGCGTTTTTCCGACTCCTAAAGCACCTCAAAGCGTTGTCGCACCGTATAATGCCATACTTTCCATTCATCATTTGATAGAACACACGGATTTTACCCTTTGCTATGACAACGAAGCCATTATTGATGTTTGCGTTAAATCATTACAATTACGTAGTCCAAATTTTTCCGATTTAAATCACTTGATATCGGCAAGTCTTTCCGGTGTGACGACGTCATTGAGATTTCCGGGTCAGTTAAATTCGGATTTGAGAAAACTAGCCGTTAACATGGTACCGTTTCCGAGGTTACACTTTTTAGTTGTCGGTTTTGCACCTCTTTCATCACCGAAAACGAAAGTTTTCGGAGCGTTATCCGTTGCCGAAGTCGCTCATCAGATGTTTCATCACAAAAACGTTTTATCGGGAGTGGATCCCTCACACGGAAGGTATTTAACGGTTGCCGCCATATTTCGAGGCCGAGTTTCAACTCGAGAAGTCGACGAATTGATGTACAACATTCAAGACAAAAACAGTTGTTACTTTGTCGATTGGATACCGAACAACGTGAAAACCGTCATCTGCGACATACCTCCGAGAGGTTTAAAACTCAGCGGTACTTTTTTAGGTAATTCGACGTCCATCGTCGAAATGGTTAATCGAATCGAAAGACAATTCGAAGCCATGCTGAGTAGAAAAGCGTTCGTTCATTGGTACACGGCAGAAGGAATGGATGTAATGGAATTCATAGAAGCCGAAGCTAATCTTATTGATTTGCAAGAAGATTACAATCGTCGTTTTTACGACGTTTTCGAAGAGGGAGAGGATGACGACTACGAAGACAAATGTTATGGTAATTCGGAAAATAACGGCTACGATTTCGGAGGAGAAGAAAACGACGGCAGCGACAGTAAAAACGATACAAACGCTAGCTCTGATAAACAAAACGTAAACAGGGTATCCAAAAGAAATGGTTGCCAACCTTTGGATCTCCCAGGGGAAGAATAGCAACAAAAAAAAATTTCAATTTACCCGATAATAAGCTAAACATTTAAATTTATTTATTACCTTTTATCTAATAGTAGTAATATTTATCACCCGACAGTTAACCAAACAAAAAAAAAAAAAATTACTCACCCAGTTGTTCATTCCGCTTTTCAATTACGTAATTTTTTCTTTTCATCATCACGTATTATCAGTAATATTATTGTAATAATTTTTTTTATCCGTACCTAAAAAAAAAAAAAAAAATTAATTCATTTTCAGTAATAAAATAAAACCTTTTTTTTTTCCTCTTGCATTTGTTTAAATATTGACAATAAAAAATTACATTAAATTATTAATTGTCTTTTTCCTTTTATTTTAATAAGATCTTTTTTCCTTTTTCATCCCCCCCCCTCTCTCTCTCTCTCTCTCTCTCTCTCTCTCCTTTTTACTTAAATTATAAAAATTAAAAATAAAAATAAATAAAAAAAAAAATTTGTCGTGCGGTTGTTACATCCGGGTAATAAAAAAAAAAGGAAAAAAGAAAAAACCTTGCGGTGTACCTTTCGAAAGGATTTTTTTTTGTTTTGATAGCAGATGACTTTTTTATTTTTTTATTTATATCATGCGTTAATGTTAAACGCACGTAATAATAATTTTTTTTTTTTAAATTACGCCGCGTTTTTAATTACTCTATGACCGAAAAAAAAAAATTAAATTTTTCAACGGTTTTTAATTAAACTTTTTTTTTTGTTGCCTTTTACGAAACAATCAATTAAAATTTTTGAAATCGATTTGAAATTTTAAAAAAAAACGCGGCGGATCGAAAATAATAATAATAATAATAATAAATAAATTAAATTAAACGCGATGAAAAAATTTTCGTTTTTTTTTCTCGTTTTCCACGAGTGAAATCAATTTTTAGTCGGTAATTTTTTTTTTTTTTAATATCATCAACATCACGAAATCGAATTAGTCTACCAGTAGCAGACGACACAAAAAAAAAACTATTAATTAATTTTTTTTTTATAGAAAAAATAAAACGAAAAGAAAAAAAAAGGAGACATATTGAAAAAGGTTACGCGCATCGGCGACATTTTAAAAATATTAAATTTTATTATTACCATTATTATTATTATTACTACTACCATTATTATTATTATTATTATTATTATTATTATTATTATTATTATTATTATTATTATTATTATTATTATTATTGTTTCTTTAAATATTTGTCCTTTAAAAAAAAAAAAAAATGAAATGATGAAAGAGACAGAGAGAGAAAATAAGAAAGAGAAAAAAAAATTTGTTAGAAACAAAGGAAAACTTTTTCATTTAAAGACAGACGATAACCCTCATGACCTTTTCCCATCCCCATCCCATCCCTCCCCCTATCCCGAAAATGAAAAAGGTTCGAATTTTGACTTGGGGAAAATTTTAAATAAATAATAAAAAAAAAATTAATTTGAAACACCTAAAAATAATACGAATTATAATCGTAAGCATTTATTTTTCATTTTTTCTTTTTTCTTTTCTCAAAAAAAAAAATTTTTCCAAAAAATTTTCCGAAAATTAAATCCCTGGATAAAAGGAAATTTTCCCTTTTTAAAAACCTGTCAATAAATCAATTTTTAAAAAACTTTTCTTTTCTTTTACTCTTTACCCTTCGAATCCTTTCATTTCTTTTCTTTTTACCAAATTTTTTTCGGTTTTTTTGTTTAAACCCAATTTTTACCAGGCGAAAAAAAAATGATAATAATAATGATAATAATAATAAATAAAAAAATAAGGTCAAAACCTTTTCCGAAAAAAAAAAAAAATAATAATAATAATTGATCCTTATCAAAAAAAAGGAAAACTTTAAAAGTAAATTTAATCCTTAAAAGTCATTTTCATTTAAAAAAAAAATTTCCCTCCCCCCCCCTTTTTTTTTTAACTACAAACCAAAGCATCATTAAGTTAATTAAAAACAATAATAATAATAATATTAATAATAATTAGAAATTTAATAATCCTTTTTTATTTTTAGAATAAGAATTCCCTAAAATATTTTTTTATTTTTATTTGATGAAATCATTTATAAATTTTAATTACGGAAAATGCAAATGCAAAAAAAAAAAAAATTTTTTTACAACCGATAAAATTTTCCGTTTAACGACGCCGCCAGTTTCTCGCGATCCACGAAAAGATTTTAATCAAAATAATAATAATAATAATTTCGATCGAATGGAAAGATCTCAAAAGAAAAAGTTTTGAAACTAAATCTATTCGCGAAAAATTGATGATTACGATGATTATTATGATGATGATGGTGATGGTGATAGTGATGTTGTTGCTTATGATGAAGGTGACGCTGTTGTTGTTGTTGTTGAAGATGATGATGATGATGATGATGAGGCTGTAGTTGTTGTTGTTGTTGATGATGACGATGATGATGATGAGGCTGTAGTTGTTGTTGTTGTTGATGATGACGATGATGATGATGAGGCTGTAGTTGTTGTTGTTGTTGATGATGACGATGATGATGATGAGGCTGTAGTTGTTGTTGTTGATGATGATAATGATGGTGACGATGATGATGATGAGGCTGTTGTTGTTGATGATGATGATAAAAAAGGAATTTTAATAATTTTTTTATTTATTATACAATATCATCGTTAAAAAATTTTTTTTTTCTAATGCCACGAAATGATCAATCGAAAGAAATTTCAAAAAAAAAAAAATTCCCCAACTGTTTTTTTTTATAAATTTAAACACGTAAAACTTAGTAAGTCGATTTTTTTTAAATTTAAATAATGACGTCATCGTAATAGTAATTAATGAATTAATTATTTTTATAACAAATTCTTTCAGTTGGATATGAAATGAATCAGAATATTTCCCCCCCCCCAAAAAAAAAAACTGATTCGATTATTAGCTTTTATAATTTTTTCCCACTCGGAAATTCGACAAAGTATTAATTAGGATAATAATAATAATAATAATAAGCGATATCGAATAGGCATACAATAACGCTATCGTTGACATCAACATGAACTAACAACATAAACACGGAAAAATTGAAAAAAATTCCTTGATGTAAACGTTTTTGTAAAAACTAAACCGGAAACGCTCATTTCATTTGCACAAGGTCAGAACAAAAGAATTTGTTCTACTAAAGAAACCAGAAAAGGGATGAAATATAAAAAAATATAAAAATATTCAGACATGAGTAAAAATGGAAATGATTTCGGTTATCGTGGGTGAACCGGAAATCAAGCCGACGGATTGCACAGGAAATGGCCTTGTGTGAGACGATCTACATTCTTTGAAAAATGAACAATGCTTCTTTATAAGAACTTAACCCTGAGGAATCGAATAGAGGGATGTGTTGGAAAACTTTGACGACAACATAAAACTTTTCGTTATTAAAAGCAAAACATAATAATAATAATTATAAACAATCATTTCAGTTGGACGTAAACGTTAAAAAAAAAATTTATGTTTATATTTTGTGCTTTAAAAAAAAAAAAAAGAAAAAAAGAAAGTAAATAATAAATGTTAGGAATTCGGTGACGGGATAAAGGAAAAAAAAAAAAGGAATTTTCCATTGGCTAATTTTCGCGGTTATACGAGCGGCGGTGTTTAATAAAAAAAAAAAGAATTTTTTTATTACTTTTAACTTTTATTACGTTTTACTTCCCCCTCCTCCCCTTTTTTTCACCTTATAAATTTTTACAACAGAAATTTTATTTATTTATAATTTTCCTTTTTTTTTCTCCTTCATTTTCCTTTCTTCATCTTTAAAAAGCATTTTATTTAAAATCCGGATGAAAAAAAAAAAAAGGAAAAAAAATCAAAACAAAAATCTATGTCATAGAATAAGAAAAAAAAAGAAAAAAAAAGGGAAAAAGAAAAAATTTATAAAAGTAAACTCCTCACTTTTTTTCCCCCCTTTTTCCCCCACATTTTTCTTTTTTTTACAAAATCGGGGGGAAAAAATTTTTTTTCTTTTTTCCGTCGTTTAAAAAAAAAAAAAAAAAATTCGCTTTTAAATTTTTTTTGCTTTTTTCATCTTTTTTTCTTTTTTTTTTATTGTTCTAAGATGGCTTTTTTATATTTTCGAAAATAAGTTAATTTCGAATCGTTTTTAATTTAATTTTTCTAACGCCACGACAAAAAAAAATGTAAACAAATAACATCAATTAACTTTTCCTAACCCTTTTAAAAATCGCCGCGCCAAAAAATAAAACACGAGTTAAAATTTCACAGCCTTCTCGAAACCCCCCCAAAAAAAATTTTTTTTTTTTTTCAATGAATGGGGGTAAGAAATTAAATCGACCAATCACGAGATTACACGTCATTCATTACGTAATATTTATTCAATTCCATTGTTATCGCGTTTGCGTAGGTGGACGACTATTCAACATTTAATTAATTAATTTATTTTTAAATACATTCATTTATAAAAATGTCGCGTCGAATACATAAATAAATAAATAAATAAATAATTTTTTTTCAATCATTTAATTCCATAATCAAATTTATTTACATTAATTAACCGGTTTTTTATTTCGCGAATTTCGCGTTACAAATCCTATTCATTCGAACTTGTTTCATTCATAGCAGAAGAAATTCAATTACTGAAATATTACGTGGAATAATTTTTCCCTCCCATTTTTTTTTTTTTTTTATAAATTCGTTAATTAACGAACGAATAATCGTCGTAATGGTTTCTTTCATTCATTCAATTTCCGCCATATTGACAATTTTTTTGATCGGTTATTATTATTGACGGATGTAGAATGTTCTCGAAATTGATATTAATCGAATCTTAGGATGTAAATTTCATTTTTGATTTTTTCCTAACTCGTTTGCGGTAAACGTCAAAAATGTTTAGGGGAAAAATTTTATTAATAATTGTTTTACTTTTTCTTTTGACAATAAAACTTTAAAAGTTGTTGTTATTATTATTATTATTATTATAATTATTATTATTATTTGGACGAATGTTTTTCAACGATCATTAACAGAAACCGAGA